AGTAATAACGGACGAAAAAACCAAAACACCGATTGGCCGCTTGGGAATTCTTTATTGTAACACCAACATATAAAAAATATTTCTATTAAGGTCTGTGAACAAATATTACAATAATAAATCACAAGATTACTTCTGATGGTTTACTGCTGACTTCTTTCTGAACAGCGACCGATGAGACGATGACTGTCGTATTGATGCCTCCGCGAAAATTGGGGAAGTTGATTTTGAGCAAACAACCATGAATTGATCGTTCAATCTTCAACTCCATTGACAGCAATCTTACGCGCTCCCACCTATAGTCCTTAAATCAAAATAACTGAAGATCCTGGGCAACTATTACATTCCATTTCTAATATCTTTATGACGAGATTTCATATAATTTGGGATTTTTATCACTCCCTCCTGTTGTTTTGAAAATGTTCTGGATCCTTGATCTGTTCTACTACAATGTATTCCCACTACCGCTGCAGCCTTTTAAGTGCGTTGAAAGGAATTTCAGCAGTTTATTTACTGGGAATACGCGGTTCGAAACAGAACCCTGGTGTTCCTGGGACTTGCATATTGCGTTTAGCCAAGGAATTCTTTGGTCCTATCCACAAGCACTCCAGAAACAAGTTACTCCACTTGCCTTAACCATTGGGACACCATAGTGGCCACTTGACAGTATATATTGAATCAGGTGTGTTGAGCTATGCATTATTTGGTATATCGTGGTGAGGTCGTCCCACGTTCTGCAGTAGTCTGGGCGTACAGTCCCTGTGCCCATAGCCGTTCGACTTGGGCTCACCACTTCAGTTCGATAGCACTTTTATTAGCCTCCCTATGTATCCTTCATAAGGGGCTCACACCTCTTTCTAAGGGCGATGATGCTTTGACGTTGTGAACTTCTAAGTGTAATCATACGCAAGTCTTATGCAACTGCGTGAAGAATCTGGGTGTGAGTACCCTCAGGTGTCAGCGCACGGGCTATATTGCCTTGGTAGCTTCGGTTCGGTCTTCTGCATAGTTAGTACCTAATTCAAATTTGTACACAAAGAACATCTCTAGATTGCAAAGTCCCAACGTGGGAGAGGTCAGTTCCACGAAAGCGGTGTGGAAACATTCGTTATTCTGACACATGTTTGGACGTAGCTCGATAATTGCCAGTATGGAAGGCTATTCCTTAATCGTTTATAAAGGTGAGGAGTCACTGTGGAATTATAGCCGCTTATTGCTGCATTCCAGTGATCTCTATTCTGTGTACAGCATAGTTCGTTCTTCTTCTCGCTAATCCCTCTGCCACACAAGTTGGGTCAAGTCCATGCTAACGGTAGGTAACAACTTCTCGTTATTGAGACTAGGTGGGGGACTTCATGTGACACTGCTTGGGTTATTAATAATGCATTTTTGTTAGCTTTTCCAGAACCACTTCTGGAGTTATTTGGGCAGTAGTAATCTCTGCATTTTATGTCGGTAGCTCAGCGGTAGAACGCTCGCTAATCACGCATGGGATTCTGAGTTCGATTCCCAGCTGACGCAGTCCTGGACCTCGCTAAGCTACAGATACATTTGTCACTTCCCTTAACTGGCAGAGACCGCAATCGGCAACTATGGGCAATATCTTTTACTGTTCGGTGTGGCATTGCATAGATGGCCTATTTCTGCTGGGACCAGCCTTTCTTCGTCTTCTGATGGCAACTGGTTGTCATTTATTGTTATTTTAATAGAAAAGTCAGTTTCTAATCGTTGTACTATCAGACAGGATGGGGATTTCATTGTTGAGTTTCTCTTTTGCTGCCTTATAGCAGTGGAATTAATTGCGCTGGCCTCATCGTGTGCTACGGTTTTAATTACGTGCTACTGTGTGGCATGCTTTTGGGGCGTCGTTCAGAATGTCTGAGCTCCCTGGGCTTACTGCTTTAATGTCATGGTATGTCGGGCGTTGACAGATGTGAGTGAAGTGCCCTGAGGTCGATGGCTGCCACTATCCGCCCTAGATGCACTAGTGCAAGTAATCACTGTCGCACGCCGTGTGGCTACCACTGCGGTGCATCGCCGGCCGTCACTTCCGAAATCCGTTTGTGACCAAAGTTATTGGGTTTGCCCCGTCCTGTGCTTAGTGAGATTCCACTCATATGTCCCATGTCCTGTCTGATTTTGCTTTTAGGTTCGATGACCGGTTAGCAACCGACACTAAGGATAACTCTAGAACTTATTCCAATTCCTTGGTTTAGTTCAGGGGAACTTTTACCGATATAGGTTTTCTAACAGGTGGCATATTCCCATTTTTTATTTTTTTGATTACAGCTTGATTCCACACCGTATTTTTTGTACGGGTATGGAATTTTCAGCATGTGATATCGGTGGCCTAAATTTTGCAGACCGACCATAGATATCATGTGTGAGCAGGCAGGGGATCGAACCCCGGACCACTGTGCAACGTCCTACGCATTTCATACCGTACGTTAAGTATGGTGAGTCTTCAGCCGAAAGCTTCTCATTACTGTTTGTTAGTTGGGATACTACCGGACATCAAGCAGTCTCTGCAAGCTGGAACGCTGAACGTAATCATAGGTTACCCTGAAATGTCACTCCTGTCTGTTGAGAGTGCTGGATAACCTTCCTGCTGGTGATGTGCTTTCGGTGTATTTTTATCACAAATGGTACCAGTGTGACTGCCAAGAACGTAGCAGTGTATAATTTTTCCTATTGATATTAGTTTCGTCTATAAGTTTTGATTAGGTGGCACGTTTACGGGGGTCTGTGGGTTTATGTTTCCTCGTGCGAACTTTGAAAAGGGATTTAATTTTCACGCTCTTGTTTATAATTGGATTTTGTTGTGTTATACGCTTCAAAAGTCCACAGATTTAACTTTAAATCAGTTTATTCTGGTCGAAGTTAGTTTACGTTTCAGATCTGAGTCTATTAATTATAGGAAGTGTTCTTATAACATAATAGCCACATATATCTATCTTTGTGCACTCATTAGCTTTTATCACTGATTTACAAAGGTTATATATATATATATTTGAAGTTGTATTTAACTTTTCCTGGTTCGTTTTAAATAAAATGCCTATTAAAAGAAACCGCTGCGGAAGGGCTATGTGCCAGTTTCCAGTGGATGAGGGAATGCAGTGTGATAACTGCAAGAGATGGTTTCACAGTATGTGCACGAACCTTACTCCAGCAGCATACAAACGCTGCTGCAAACCTCTAGCGAACTGGTTATGCAACGACTGCTGTAGTACAACTAAACTCCGTATTACAGAAGCCATAGCTACTCTTAGTGGGGCTTTAAAGCTCATGGACTGCAAGCGTCCTCCACCACAGAAGAATACCGACTATTGCTCAGATAGCGATGACGTGACTAGCGTCATTGACAAAACAGCACATGTCCCAGATGCGACCTTGCCAATAAGTGAGTGCTCTACAGCACAGAAGAACACCCACCATATTACAGACACCCAGGTCGCCCCCACGATACTGGATGAGCCCTCCAGTGACAGTAATGGAAAGACTGCCGTGAAGAAGAGGCGTACTAGGGGTCGAAAACCTGCAGCTCCAGTCGCCCAGGGACTGGCGGAACAAGCCTCATCCACACCGGTGAGCAGCAGACAGACGAACCCCACTAAGATTAGCGAGGAGGACGCCAATGAATGGCGCACCGTAGTCTCTCGCAAAAAGCGAGATAAGGATAACACTTCGGCCACACCGCCCAAGAAGGATAGAAACACACTTACGCCTCAGGGCAAGAAAGTAACGGAAAGCAAACCCGATCTCTCTGATAGGTCTCTCATTCTCCACAAAGTGGAGGAGTCACTGGCTCTCGACCCTAAGACCAGATTCGAGCATGACCTTAACTTGGTCAAGCCCCTTTTAGACAAGCTACTGCCACAAACAGTATCAGGCATTACTATACACAGCGTATACAGAATAGGTCAAAAGCCTGACCCTACAGTAAGTGAACCTGTACGTCTCCTCAAAGTCGTACTAAACTCTAAAGCGGAGAGGGACGCTATTCTAAGCAACTCTCATATTCTCAAAGGATCAGGGATATATGTCCGCGCTGACTTAAGCCTGGCAGACCGTGTCAAAAGACAGGCTGCGGCACTAGAATTAAGTGAGCGACGCCGGAACGGTGAGAAGAACCTTAAGATTAAGGGTTTTCGGGTTGTCCGAGTTCGCAGTTTAATGATCCCGAAACCTCTGTGGGTGGGCCGGGGAAGCACCAATCTGAATTAACAGTCTGCTACACAAACGCCCGCAGCCTGTTAAATAAAAGGACTGAGCTGGCAAACATGATAGAAACCGGAAACCCGGATGTAATTATTATCACAGAGACATGGCTCACACCCGATGTCACTGACAACGAAGTTAACCTGCCAAACTTCGAAGTGCACAGGGTAGACCGACTAAACCGCAAAGGAGGGGGCGTAGTCATCTACCTCAAGAAAGGCTTAACCGTGCGTAGTATCGAAGCACTCGCCCACGAAAGTGAGTCGTGCGAACTTCTACGCTGCAGACTTAAATGCATAGGCCAAGACATTGACCTCATTGCTGTGTACCGCAGTCCTGACTGCAGTGCAGACGACTTCCTAATAGAGAAGCTAGGCTCCTGGACTTCAAAATGTCGAAGTCTCGTAGTCGGTGACTTCAACGCCCCAACAGTTGACTGGTCGAGCCTAACAACTCCATCTTCAGTCAACTCCTTTGACCATAAACTGCTAGAATCTAGTATATCGCTAGCCCTAGTCCAACATATCATTAAGCCCACGCGCTATGACTCACAGCACTCCTCATCAACTCTGGACCTAGTGTTCTCACACGGTGAGGATGTGGATCTCATACAACATCTTCCTCCGTTAGGAAGAAGTGACCATGCTGTGCTCACTTTCAAGTTCACAGCAACGGCAGCAAGGGCCAAAACCCCAGCTCGACCAAACGTTTGGAAAGCTGACATAAATGCGATCGTCTCAGCAGCCAACTCAGTAAACTGGTACATCAATCCAGAGTCCCAAGTAGAAGCCGCATGGAACCAATTTAAGCAACTTTACGCCCAAGTAACTGTACCCTTCATCCCTTGGTCTGTTCCAAAGGGTCGGAAACATTCCCCCCCTTGGATAAACCGGGAGATTCGTAAGTTACTCAGACGTAAACGCAAATGTTGGAACCTGTTTGCAACACTTGAGACTTCTGAGACCAGGGAATTATATACTACTGCTAGAAATAAAGCTATCGCAGAAATCCGCCAATCAAGGATGAAGTTCGAGACACACCTGGCCCAAAATGCAAAGGCACAACCTAAGAAAATTTTCTCGTACTTGAATTTCAGGAATAAAACACCCAATGGTGTCCCAAACCTGATTATTGACAAAGATACAATCGAAGAAGATCAAGAAAAAGCAGAAGCAATGGCAAACTACTTCTCCCAAGTCTTCACTCAGGAGTCATCACTGCCTATAGGATCAGCTCTGGCTGCATCAGAAGAACATGGGATAGATTCCGTTGACATCGACCAAGGCATCGTGCTCAACTTCTTAATGAAACTAGATGCAGGAAAATCAATGGGTCCTGACAGTCTTCATCCAAGGCTTCTCAAGGAGCTATCAGCCCACATAGCCGGCCCCTTGACCACGATCTTCAAGCTATCTCTCCTAAATGGAGTGTTGCCACGTGATTGGAAAGACGCCATAGTAACCCCCATACACAAAGGAGGATCAAGACAAAGCCCTTCAAATTACAGGCCTATCAGTCTCACCAGCACTTTAATCAAGACACTGGAAAGAATTATCAAGAAAAGCATCATGGCTTATCTGGAAAATAGCAGCTTGTTATCTGGAGCACAGCATGGCTTCCGGAGGAACCTCTCATGCCTGTCAAATCTCCTGACTGCAAGAGAAAGCTGGGTCAAATCAAAGGATAACAGAAGACCCGTTGACGTCGTCTTCATAGACTTCAGTAAAGCCTTTGATAAAGTACCTCACAAAAGACTACTCATGAAATTGGAAAGTCTTGGTATCAAAGGCAGACTACTAGACTGGCTCAGGGAATTCCTCATAGATAGGAGGCAGAGGGTTAGGATCAACTCAAAACTCTCCTCCTGGACAGCAGTAAGTAGCGGAGTGCCACAAGGCACGGTTCTCGGTCCTCTCCTTTTTATTCTGTATATCAATGAGTTACCTCTGCTCACCGACTCCCCTATGGTCCTATACGCAGATGACTTAAAAATTTGGAGGGAGCTGAAGGGCAACAGTGATACGTCCACCTTGCAAGACGACCTCAACAAACTGTCGGAGTGGTCTGTTGAATGGATGCTCCCGATCAATGTGGCAAAATGTGCAACCATGCGCATTGGACAAGCAAGCACGAGCTCCTACGAACTAGAGGGAATAACACTTCCATCAGTTCAGACTCACTTGGACTTAGGTGTCATAGTTAGCCACGACTTAAAAACTACAGCACACTGTCGCGCGGTGGCTGCACGTAGTTTCAGGTCCTTATGGGCGATTCGCAGAGCCTTTACAAGAATTACCAGAGATATGTTCACCTCCTTATACACATCTCTGGTTAGGTCAAGACTGGAAAACTGCATCCAGGCCGCCAGTCCGTGTCTAAAAGGGGATTCACACATTCTAGAAAGTGTTCAAAGGAAGGCAACACGTATGGTTCACGGCATAGCTAACTTATCATATGAGGAAAGACTAGATAGTTTAAATCTCTTCTCACTGTCATACCGTAGGCAGAGAGGAGATTTAATCACAATGTTTAAAATTTTAAATAATGACTACGGACCTGACCTATTCTCTCTTTTCCTTCCCACCAGGTCGGAACACCTTAGAGGACATAGCAGGAAAGTTCAAAAGCCAAGGAGAAATCATATTGCTGTTGAGTACTGGTTCTCACATCGAGTCATAAACTCTTGGAACCGACTCCCAGAAGAAGTGGTGTCTGCAACCTCAACTGATTCGTTCAAGAAGGGTTTGGACAACCACAGAAATCTACTAGAAAAGGATTAACATAGGCTGCAAGCCTTCTATCCTCAACCAATAAATCTGAATCTGAAATCTGAAATCTGTTTGATTGCGGTCTCGTCGACTAACCTTTCTCTTTCTCATGAAGTACAGGAAGTGGCTAGCAGTACTGACCAAACAGGAACGTACTTATGATCAGAAGACGTTTAACAAGTACCATGAAGCCAGTGCAAAGAATCGAATCCTTTTATACAAGCGCTTCACAAAATATTGGATATTGGGTGTGAATTTTGATGTGCCAAGGTCATCAGAGGACGTTACAACGCGTGCTTTTTTAATTTTTTCCGTTACTCGTGTTTTTATTTTAGTAAGTGATTAAGTCTCTATCTGAGTTTGTCAGGAATTTATTCAGGCGTACGTGCCAGTTATTTTCCTAGTGGCACTCTTTCTTAAAGGGAAATACAATCAATCATAAAGTACACTCCTAAGCACTGCATGCCTATTATTATCTAAATAATATTTGGCTTACCCAGGACTTAAGTGTTGTCTGGTCGCTAAGTAACATGAGAATTTTATCAACTCTATTGGGATTTCGGCTTTGTTTGTTAGTCTAATACGGTGGTTGCAACCACCAACTTATAGGGTGGGCCTCATTTCCCAGTCGGTTACTTTTTTTGTGGACCTGGGATATGTGGGTAAAAACGTGGGTAGTTTTCCGTTTAAATGTGGGCAAAGTGGGATAAGGTGGGCTGTTTTCGTTTGTAACATGGGAAAAGTGGGAATAAGTGGGCTGTTTTCTAAAATGACATGGGCAAACGGGGAAAAAGTGGGTATATTTTGAATTCCTGCACATGGGATAAATGGGTGAAAACGTGGGTTACGTGGGAAAACTGGGAAAAGGTGGGACAAACAAATTTTATCTGGACATGGGAAAACGGGGAAAAGTGGGAAATGTGGCCAAAGTGGGTAAAATCGGTTGCATTTACACCATCTTTTGCCCACGTGTTTGCCGATCTAGATTACCCTTTTATCCCACGTTTGCCCATGTGCATTAACCGACTGGGTTTGATGAAACAGGAGATAAGTAATCAAAGTGCATTGTTTTTAAGCATATACAAGAAGCGTATCAAGAAGCAGGGTAAAATCTATGGTTTCTCTGCGCCCTGAAGGTAGTCTGAAAAAATCAAATAGAATTACTGTCTGTGGAAAGAATGATTCCAAGTTCCCATGCATCACTTGTAGGTTGTTCTCTCTTTATATATATATATATATATATATATATATATATATATATATATAACACAGGTACGGCGCTGACACTACCTATTTTTGTTTATTGTTGGCTTAGCTATTTTTAGCTAGTTGAGGTCTTAATTTTGTAGAGGGTTGAGAAATCAATATTTTCAGCGTAAGCTTTTCACTTTAATTTAGAAGACAGATAGTTGTTTCAGAGTGTGCGGTAGAATAAAGGAAAATCGAAGAAATAGTGACTAGAAGTGTGCACTAAGGAATTGAAACGTATTTTTAGTACAGTAGGTGAGCCGTCTAACAAACGATGTTCAAATCAACCTGGAGATTGATTTTTAAATCTTGTAGTGTCATAGGCAGTGATTACATTAATTCCTCTTTGAACGGCTTCTAGCCATGTAAAAAAGTCTCCAATAATCGTTTCTGGCATAATGAGGACAATAGGCCAGGTAGTTTATACTTTCATGTGGGACTCTCCTGTCGTCTGTACTTTTATGAATTGAAACAACTTGGACTCCTGCGTTTTTTCACAAAATATTTCAGGAGTGGGACTCGTAGCAAGGCTAATCGCTCTGCAGTACATACACTTTGTGTTGGTTAGTTAGTTTTCTCGCCTGATTCAAGGATGATCCTAAATGGAAAGTACCAGATTATCCTTTGTAAAGACACTGAGTTTGCATCAGATACTAGTCCTTTCAAATTGATGAAACTCTTCAAATACGTGGATGGTCAATACAGGCTTCCGCTTCACTCTCTATTTACAAAGTATAAGTTGGTAACTATTGATTCTGTATTATCTTAAATTTGGACGAAATCGAGTGGCATATAAATTATACTTAGATGTCTACTCAGAGAGTCCGGAAAATCTATCCTTTATAACTCCCTCTGTAAGTTGAAAAAACAATTTGTAATTCTAACATAGCACAGACTAATATTGGTTGATGAACAGTAATTGGCCAGCCAGAGTTTTCTACCAAACTTCTTAGCTGTAAATCTTGGGAGTTTGTTCATGTCGAGGTGAGCCAGATTACAATCCAGTCAAGTTTCCCATCTAAAAACTGGAACGTCACATGACCTTCCATTGAAATGAAACTCCTCACGTAAACTGGTTAAGTTGAAGACACATGGTCAAGCATCCTTACTATTTGACATTCTATCGTTTGCGTTGTTTTTGCATGATCCTGAGTTAGTCAAGCACGCACCTGATCCCAAAATATGTTCCATACTTTGGACAATGTAATTGTTGTTCTGTTTTGTCTTTCTAACTATTCTTTGGTCATATAAAGTATGTGCATCTAGGGAGTGGGGGATCACGTGTGCACATTATCGTACCAGCGTACCTTAGGTGGTTGTTGAAATTCGTCATCTTTTGAAATTTAGCATACTGAAATGCCTTACTTACTTGATTGCCATCGCTATACAACTGTGGAATCTGAAAAGATAGTTTTCGAGAAGGAAATTGTTCCTCCACTAGTCTCATTTTTCATAGTTATAATGCGTGTAACTTTTGTTTTTATACAGTAACTGATTTTGTTGTGGTGAGTGTTTTAATTTTACACTTCGTCGCTTGATTTTCTATCGTATACTTATTATTTCTTTTTTGTAGGCTACATAAACATTCATACTTCCTTTATTTAGTTGAATATCTTTCGACAACAAGACAAAAATGTTTCGATTGTCCAGTTTGACTTCTATAATTCGTAGACAATCTTCACAGCAAGCAAGACGTCGAAATGTTGCTATGGTAAGTTTTGTTTTTTAAAAAAAACAAACAAACAATTTGTAATTTTTCGTTATCTTTTTTTCTTAGATTTTGCATGGTTGTGGTGTTTATGATGGTACAGAGATACATGAAGCTACAAGGTTAGCCTTTTATTTTTATCCTCAATACTATGTACATTATATATAAATATTGATTTTTCTCTTTTTTATTAGTATGCTGATTCACTTAGACAGACATCATGTCAGTTTGTCTATATTTGCACCAGATCGTGATCAAGTGGATGTTATCAATCATATCAGTGGGTCAACTATGAATGAAAAGAGGTAGAGATTAGATTATATATATTTATCGAATTATCTTAAATACTGATGTAGAAATGTGTTAATTGAATCTGCACGAATTGCTCGAGGCAACGTACATTCATTGGATGATTTGAATGCATCGAATTTTGATGCATTATTCATTCCTGGAGGTTTTGGTGTTGCTAAAAATTTGTATGTTATAATTATCTTTTTCAAACAAAAGGTTTTATAATTTGAAATGTTTAGATCAAATTTTGCTTCAGAAAATGCTTCATGTGCCCTTTTGGCTAAATTAGAAGATATTGTTAAAAAATTTCATTCAGATGGTAAACCAATGGGGTAAGTTTCCTTTGCTGTGTGCATTTTCGATACTTTTATACCTTATTTATAGTGGAAATAAGATTAAGGGGTTAACTTTCAGCTACTAAGTTTGAAGCATGACTAACTGACTGACTGACTGGTTTCAACATAGAACTTTGCACTGATGTGCAGCCCAACCGATAGCTGCTACCTTGACGTGGTGGTCGGGCTTGCACATCGCGATGACCCAACAAGCTACACTGGCTGGAACCAATGTTGGTTCCTGCAGGTCCTACCATGCCAGGAAGATTGTTAGGAATCTTTCTTACACTATGCTGGAGGCCTGTGAGCGGAGTCTTACTGCTGGGGAACAGGAGTGTAACAGCAGTGAGGTGTTTCCCTCAGATGACCAGCATGCCAGCTATGCTGTCTCTCCACTCTGGAGAGAGGGGGTTAGAAAAGGTCGACCCCAAAGATTGTATATCCCGACTTACCCTACGGTGATCCGTAGACGGTGGACCGTAAGTTTACTAATACGGTACCAAACCAAGAAACCAGTTCATACAGGCCATCTATGACCGGCCTCAAGTAGGTGTCCCCTGGGCTCTGTGGTCACGCAACACTGACCCTCTCTCTGTTTCAGGTACCCGAAGAATGAAGCAACTTCCACAGTCTGGGTGGCCGGAAAGTAACAACTGCCCACACAATTCCAAAAGACTGATGTGCAGCAGTTTGAGTTGCCACTCTCCCTCCATGTACCACACAAAGAAAGAGAAGAAGGTGAAGAGAGATTCAAATGAGAGACAGTGAACAGAAGTGTGAGTAAGGGTAAAGGAATATTTATATGAAAGAACAATAGAATTTTATTGGATATTATCAATCAGAAGGTGTGGATGGATCTGCGCCAGCCATCACCGAGAACGACTTTGAACCAGCCATATCATCAATTGTCTTCAGCCTTCATTGGTTCTAACCATCCTGAGGAGACCAATAAGACAGGTAGCCTGTCTATATCTCCCTGCGTGACTGGCTGGATGGCTTAAACTAATTGTCATGGATTTGATTGCCTGATAAAGCCATGTTTCGGTTTTACCACCATCACCACTACAGCCAGCTAACTTATTTTTCCAACATGATCCATCCAATGTTAGTGGCTAACATTGCCCGTCGAGGAAGGCTATCGATTGATAGGGATGCATGCATACGACATGTCCCAGCCGTCTCAATCGGTGTAACTTCACAACTTCGTCGATTGATTTCGCCTTCGTATCTACCACTCGACTGATGCCTAACTTCAATATTACTTACCCTATTATACCTAACAACTAACATGGGAGATAGAAGGCAGATACTTGTGATCAAAGACAGGTAGCCGGTCCTCTCATGTCTTCCATTTTCAGTCGCCGTGTTTCACATCCATAAAGGGGGACGGAGCGAACTGCCGGGTTGAGCAGTACACATATCCTTTGGTCGATAACCAGCCACCCAGCCGGATATCACGTCTAATAGGCCAGAGGTGGCGTAATTTAGCAAACGCCAAACGAGCCTTCTGTATCTCTGCTGAGATTTCGTCAGCGGTCAACCCGTTGGTTCTGGGGCTGATCCATTTTCCAAAATAAGTGAAGTAGTCAACATGCTCTACCAACCACTTCACTCCGTAACTTTTGGGGTAGGGAGTCGATGTAGTCCATTCCTGTAGGATGATCGTCTTACATTTGACTAGAGCGAATTGCGTGCTCAATATGTTGGAGCGTAAATTATATTCCATTTCAAAATGAGAAACTCTTTTCGATCGTATGTTCTCACACAACAGGTGTTGTATCATATTTCAACCTTAGACATCCAAGAGGTGCTTTTTTATACCTTTACGTTCCCAGTGGAACATACAGCTTCCAGCTAGAGGCTTAAAGTTTCGGTAGGAGTAGTGTTTACTTCTGCCGGATGGGGTTGCTGCTAGCCTCACGTACCCAACCTTCCCTCCTTTACCAGTCTTATTACTGGCTTAGCGAGGTAAAGGAATACCTCGTCGGCCGGGGATCGAACCCCGAACCACTTGTAGTGTGGTCAGCTAGCATTCTATCGCTGTGCCACCAACACACACCAAGAGGTGCTGATGCACCCTAATGTATTCATCCCTAACCTAGCCCTAATTTACTACTAACCAACTCTAATATCTTCCTAATTAGTCTAATGTAACTTAAACCTGTCCTTTGCATCGCCTAAACCTAAACTTTACCAGTCCTTAGTGTAACCTAGAATTAACTAGATATCCCATTTAATATCATTACATTTTATTCTCCGATTCTCAGTTGTGTAAGTGGCTTCATTGTCTTGCTCTGGTCCAGCATTCCTAGGTCATTGGAAGCTGTTGGGTGACTAAAAGTTGACTTCGTCGGTGTTGGTTGTAGTTTAGTTGACAAGACTTCCCCTTATCAGTGAATTCAGCACAAAATGAACTTAGACCTCATACTGTAAACTGTAAGGAGTAGAAATGTGTGTGTGTGGCGGGGGAAAGGATAGTAATGGATATAAGATAAGGGATTACGCAAACTGAATGCACCACTGAGAACGAATTTATTCCACATCACCAGTAGTTTCCAGACATCGTTTCTTAGGATACCAACCAGGCAGTCTACACCTCTTTGTATGGCTCAAACCAACTATAAAGGACTTCATTGAGTGATTCCAGGTCTTAGTTTGACCATCGAGTCCTATATTACCTGATACTGCTCATTGACGATGACAGTGGTTCAGCATGTACAGTACTTATCTTAGCCATCTCTATCGATGTAGCTTGACAACCCCACAGACTAACTTACCTCGTCCCCACACACACACTTAACACTTCGCCTTACCTTAGTATTATTCACCATATTATAACACTCAACATGGGAGACAGAAATCAAAAATCCATGGTAACAGATGACTAGCCTTTTCACATCTTCAACTTACAATGACCATGTCCCAAAGCGATGAGTGATAGAGGGAGAACTACTGCTTTGTATACACGTTCTCTGATGGACACCAGTCAGATCACGTCAACTGTGATGTTTTTTATGTATTCGATAGGGTCAGCTGATGCAGTCAGGTGGTGCTTTTACATCTGTCAGCTGTTTTTGAAACTGAAACCAAAATGGTGATAGTGTGAAATATTCCCATATTATGAATTAAAAGTCAATCTGAACGAAGAACATTCTTTTCAATAATTTCTCCTCTTCATGTTCTTACAATTATAAAATATAATTCTCCTTGTCGTTACTATAGTGACAGCCAGTTATGAGGCGGTGGATACATTTTTAACGTAGAATAACAGATTAGTAGTTATGGCGTGTCAAAGTAAATAGTCATATTTGTGTGACAAACGTGTTAGGCTGAAATCGATTACAAAATATTTGGGTGAAATGGGAGACAATGGTGGTGATTAGTCATGACAGATTTGTAGAGTGTGGGGCAGGAAAATTGACAAGTCAGTTCAAGGTTATAAAAGGTGCCAAGGGTGAGTGGCTAGTACAAAGTAGTATGCACTTAATAAGAGGAGATAACAAGACTGAAATGAGAGATTCGGTTCATTGTGAAATAACGAATGTGTGAAATGAAACTGATGGAGGCATATATCGAGAAAAGAGGTGATATCGCTAATAATAATAAGTCCGATTAGTATAAATGGAAAGTTCGATGGCACTGAGAGAATGTTTGCATGCAGGGCATAAATTATGACGAATAATAATAGTGATTGTAATAATAATATTTGTAATAATAAACAAAGGAAAAAAAACCAAGAGGGTTAAGGGAAGCAGTGCTCTTGGTGAGAAGAAGAATCATCAATCCAAGTTTGGCCACGGTAGGAACAGCATCTGGATGTGTTCTTTTTGGATTCAAAGTTCCGGTTTAGTCGATCTTACTGCAACAGCTTCAGCTATGTGTACGAGACGTAAGCAGACTGTACGTGATAACGACTTCGGAATTCGGTATATTAATCTGAAAGCTGTGTTGACATCGATGCAATGTCCAGTATCGACCAAGTGTGACAGGATCGAGCTTTGTTGGCACTTAATTCCCCCCCCCTCCTGCTAAACCAAGCTGCTTAATGTTCTCGATTCCGTAGACAAACTGACTTGTCAATTTTCCCGCCCTACACTCTACAAATCTGTTATGACCAATCACCACCATTGTCTCCTATTTTACAATATTTTGTAATCGATTTCAGCCGACTAGCACGTTTGTCACACAAATATGACTATTTACTTTGACACGCCATAACTACTAATATGTTATTCTACGTTAAAAATGTATCCACCGCCTCATAACTGGCTGTCACTATAGTAACGACAAGGAGAATTATATTTTATAATTGTAAGAACATGGAGAGGAGAAATTATTGAAAAGAATATTCTTCGTTCAGATTGACTTTTAATTCATAAAATGGTGATAATCAAGGTTTTTTTTATAAAGTCTTTTGTCTTCACCTAAACCTTGATTGTAAACTGGTAGAAGTAGACATCTTTTGTATCTGTGGGGTTGTATAAAGTCTGTTGAATGTGGTTGTAGATAGATTTTCTATTTTATTCTACAGCGAAAAATAAATTTTGCAGGTGAAAAAGTCAGGTGTACAAATTTTATTTGCAAGTCTGTTGTGCTCTACTCTTATTATAAGAAGTAGCATATTTGAGTTGACCATAGTCAATAACTCTGTATTGAAATATGTAGAAATAATAAAATAACAAAATAGACAGGAAGTTCGGATATGAAAATATGGTAGTGTAAATAGTGGAGGGATTAACAAAAACTTTAAAAAATAACATGAATAAACAGGAAGTTTGGATAAGGAAGGCAATGAGATAGTCAGTATTAAAAGAATTACCTGTTTATGATAGCCATGTCAACGACAAGGGTTGGACGTATTTCTTTTGGCACATAGCGTGAGTTTTAGCTTTTGGATGGGGCTAGTGCCTCGGCTATGCCCAGGTTGTCTTAATTTTACTCTCTTTCATAGGTTCGATCGATATACTCAACCCTGTACGAGCAAGTACACTGGTATA